CAGGAATGTGTCATTTAGAGAATTAGAACCGTGCCACAACCTAGATGTGACCTCACCCTTTGGTGGCTCGCCAGACATGAGATGTATGAGGCAATAGAGGCTGTGGTGAGAGTGAGAGATTGGTTCATGTGAAAGTGATGTCTTGTTCTATGACGAGGGATAAATAAGTTTAGGAGCTGAAAAATGAGGAGATAGAACCTAGAGGTGGTGAGATTCAGGTTGAAGGGGAGCTGAGCGTGTATAAAACGAGGAAACAGAATGAGGGAACAATTCATGCAGCGTCACTCAATCCAACAATTCCCTTGTCCCGGTCTATACTGACTCTTGAGATGTCTACTCCATCCACCTCAAATTCAAAATACATGGATAATATGATTCATATACATTCTACCTTAAAACCCAGGACTTTATGGAGGATCTCTCGCAGCAATGCGGGACATGCTCCTAATCGTTTTGGGTGGGAACATGACATTGCTCAATTCGTTTCATACAATAACATATCACGTGTACATGGAGTAATCAATGCATCTTTGGGCACTGCCTCTATACCCAAGTGTTGACAGGTAGCTAAAGAGAATCCCAAGTACAAAAGGACCATGCATGAAAATTTTGGGGCTCTTGATAAAAACTAAACATGGGAGATAATATCTCTATCAACAGGGAAAAAAACAGTTGGGTGCAAGTAAATCTTCACAATAAAACAAAATCCAAAAGAAAAAGCAGAGCGTTACAAGACATGATTGATGGTGAAATGGAACAGTCAGAAGTATGGTATTGACTATGAATAGACCTTTACACCAATAACCAAGATGAGCACAGTGAGGACATTGATTTTTATTAGAGTGAATGGTGGATGGAGGTTACATTCACTCGATGTGAAGAAATTGCTTCTTCATGGTGAGTTACAAGAGGTGTATATGGAGATACCGTCAGTATTCAATAGAAGTGAGACAGTGAGCAAGGTATGCAGAGGTAGGAAGTCGCTTTATGGTTTGATGAAGTCTCCTCGCGTCTAGTTTGAGAAATTTAGAAAAGCTATGGAAGACATGTGATATCAACAGATCAATGCCAACCATATAACATTTTTTCGTCAAAATTGAGCTCACACCACCATGCTTGTTGTGTACGTTGATGACATGATTATCATTGGGGATGATGAGAAAGAGATTACTCAACTAAAGGTAAGATTAGGCAAAGAATTAAGGGTGAATGACCTTGGACAACTCAGATACTTCATTGGATTGAGGTGGCCTATCGACCAGAGGGGATAGACTTGTCTCAGAGAAAGTATGTATCGGATCTCCCCACAGAAACAAACATGTTGGAATGCAAGCATCCAGCCTCTCTAATTGATCAGAAGGCCAAGCTGAGTGCAAAGACAGGAGTGTCAGTTGATCGTGATAGGTACCATAGATTGATAGGTCGTCTGATCTATTGAGTCACACTCGCCCCGACATCTCATTTGTTGTGAGCGTAGTGAGCGGCTACATGCATGATCTAAGGAAAGGGTTGATCTTCAGGAAAAATAAACATGTAGGCTTTTGAGGGTTTTTGTGACTTTGACTGTGCAAATTGTGTGGATGACAAGAG